GGGGGTCCCCTTTGCCTTTGTGTTTGCACGTATACATCAAGTTGGTTGTGTGACCATGTGCGTTCAGTGTGATCGTGGCACTTGCCCGAATAGTATGCAATGGCTATACGGGGGATCTTTGTCATTGCGAGTCATCTGCAAGTCGGCTCAGTCAACCCATGGCACCTGGGTTTGTTGCGTGACCTCCCCCGCCAGCGGGCCCCAAAGTGCACCTAGCCTGGCACAAACGCCACCGCCACTTGATGGCGGTTGTTGTTGGACGCGTAAAACGACCCCAATCGCACACCGCAATTCACACTCGCACAAACACAAAGATCCCCCGTAAAGCCTTAACAGACTGTTAGGGCAAGTGCTGTGAGCGAGCAGCGCCTATTAAGGCCGACGAGGGGGTGGGTGGCCAGCACCACGCCCGGCCGCCTTTGTCTCCCTAGTGGCGAGCACAAAGACACACACACATATTGCCACACACATAACATACACTCGCACACCAACACACACATACGCACTATACAGCTCGTGTATTAACAAAGACAAAACAAAGGTCATCCGTATAGCCTTAACAGACTGAAGGGGCAAGTGCTGTTAGCGAGCACCTATGGAGGCCGGAACGGTACACGAGGGGGTAGGTGGCCAGCACCACGGCCGGCCGCCTTTGTCTTCCTAACGTCATTTGAGGCCGAGTCTACCCAGGGGAGGCCCAGGGCCGGTTCAGGTAATCGTCCCCAGTGATGGCCGTGAGCGGGAATCGAACTCGGGTCTCCGGGTTCGTAGCACTAACCGCTACACCACCGCTCCCCCACAAAGTAACACAAAGACAAAGACAAAGACAAAGATCCCCCGTATAGCCTTAACAGACTGTAGGGGCAAGTGCTGTTAGCGAGCACCTATGAAGGCCGGAACGGTACACGAGGGGGTGGGTGGCCAGCACCACGCCCGACCGCCTTTGTCTCCCTAGTGGCGATGTTTACACACCGCACCAGGTACTCATTTAAGGCTGAGTCGACCTAGGGGAGGCCCAGGACCGGTTCAGATAATCGTCACTGGTGTTAGCCGTGAGCGGGAATCGAACCCGGGTCGCCAGGTTCATAGCGCAGCGCGCTAACCGCTACACTACCGCTCCCCACAACACACACGCACTAACACACACAAACGTTCACACACACACCCCTTCTCACGCTCACTAGCGCACAAACTCTCTCTCTCTCACACATACACACACGCACCATCTCACAATACAACTCGTGCACACAGATTGTCTAACACAGACAGACACACACACACATTGCCACACACACACGCGCGCGGATGCTCAGTGTATGTGGGAGCTCACACAGACAAAGGTCTCCCAATAGCCTATACAAACCGTGGAGGCAAGTGCTCTTAAGCGAGCACAGAGACACTTTTAAAGACTTAAGACAACGATCTCCCCTATAGCCTTCAACAAACTCTGGGTGGGTGGCCGTCAGTACGCCAGGTCGCCTTTGTCTCCCTCGTGTCAATGTCTTCCACGTCGCACCGGCTACTCATTTGTGGCCGAGTCAATCTGGAGGAGGGCCCAGGATAAAATGATCGTCACCGGTGTTAAGCCGTGAGCGGGAATCGAACTCGGGTGGCCGGGTTCGTAGACGCAGCGCGCTAACCCCTACACCACCGATTGTCCAACACAGACACACACACACGTGCACGCGCACACACACACACGTGCACACACACACGTACACGCACACACACACACACGCACACACACACACACACGCACACACACACACACCACGCACACACACACGTGCACGCGCGCACACACACACGTGCACACACACACGTGCACGCACACACACACATGCACACACACACGTGCACGCACACACACACACACACGCACACACACAAGTGCACACACACACACACGTGCACACACACGTTCCCGCACACACACACGTGCCGGCACACACACACGTGCACGCACACACACACGTGCACGCACACACACACGTGCACGCACACACACACACACGTGCACGCACACACACACACGTGCCCGCACACACGCACACACGTGCCCGCACACACACGCACGCATACTTCACATGCTCACACGCACAGATGCACAGTATATGTAGGAGCTCACCCGTGCTGGGGAGATGTCTATCTCTGGGGGCCATTATCTGCTTAAATAAAGACACATTCATCTCTCCAGACACGCATTCACTGCGTTTCGCTCTCACAGAACACGCACTGGAACACACAGACGCGCGTCTAAACACAAAGACAAAGACGCTCCGTGTAGCCTACGTGAGTTACGGCGGCGAAAGTGCTGTCAGCGAGAAGCTATATCAAAGGCCGGAACGGTGCACGTGGTGGCATAGTGGTGGTGTGATCAGAACCACCCCCGGCCGCCTTTGTCTCCCCAATTCTTTTTTTTTGCACACGGCACCTCGTAATAATTTGAGGCCGAGTCAACGTAGAGGAGGCCCAGGACCGGGTTCGATGTTGTCCGTGGTGGAGAATGGAACTCGTTCTCAGAACACTGCGCTAACCACCGTGCGCCACCAACTCCACATTCATATCGCAAAGACAAAGATCCCCCGCATAGCCTTTCACAGGCTGTCGGGGCAAGTGCTGAAAGCGAGCAGCACCTATGATGGCCCGCGCGGCGCACGAGGGGGTGGGTGGCCAGCCACCACGCCCGGCCGCCTTTGTCTCCCTTCCCAGTGGCGACGTTTACACACCCGCACCGGGCACTCATTCGAGGCCGAGTCGACCTAGGGGAAGCCCAGAGACCGGCCTAAATTTGTCGCCGGTGTTGGATGGCCGTGAGCGGCAATCGAACTCGGCTCGCCGGGTTCACATCCACCACCACCACCACGCCGCCCCCCCCCCCCCACTCTCACACGGTCTCGTCGTGGTCCTTCAAGCGCGTGCACTGCCAATGCGCGCGTGCACACGAACTCCTCTCGCGTGCACGTGAACGAGACGGAAAACAAAGACAAAGCTACCCCCGGATAGCCTCGCACACTGCAGAGGCACAAGTCTCGTTAGAGAGCACCTCTTGGAGGCCGACGCGACACGCGTGGCTGGGGGCTGATGTTACTCACACGAACGTCACCCGGACGCCTTTGTCTCTCCCGTGCGGATGCTCTCACACACACCCGTGCCAGGTTCTGTACTCTATTTGAGAAAAGAGTAGATTTCGGCAAACCCAGGACCGACTCGCCAATGCTCATCCAGCTGTGACCGGGAATGGATCTCATGCGGCCCGGGTTCATTACAACAGTGCGCCAACCACTGCGCCACCGCTCTCCACAACACAAAGATCCCCCGTGTATCCTTAACGGACTGTTGGGGCAAGTGCTGTTAGCGAGCACCTATTAAGGCCGGAAAGGCACACGAGGACGTGGGGTGGCCAGCACCACGCCCGGCCACCTATGTCTCCCCCAGCGGCGATATTTTTACACATCGTACCAGGTACTCATTTGAGGCCGTGTCGACCTAGAGGAGGCCCAGGACCAATTCAGATAATCGTCACCGGTGCTGGCCGTGAGCGGGAATCGAACCCGGGGTCGCCGAGTTTGTAGCGCAGCGTAGCGCTAACCACTACACCACCGCTCCCCCACAACACACACACGCTCGCTCTCTCACGCACCTGGATTTTCATGATCCTTGAGGCGCATTTTATGCAACCTCGGCACTTTGGTCATCAACATCAACACAGCCTTACATTTATAACAAAGACAAAGATCCCCCGTATAGCCTTACCAGACTGTAGGGGGCAAGTACTGTTAGCGAGCACCTATGAAAGCCGGTACGGCACGAGGCGGTGGGTGGCCAGCACCACGCCCGTCCGCCTTTGTCTCCCCGAGTGGCGATGTTCACTACACATCGCAGCAGGTACTCGTTTGAGGCCGAGTCGACTTAGGGGAAGCCCAGGACCGGTTCAGATAATCGTCACCGATGTTGGCCGTGAGCGGGAATCGAACTCGGGTGGCCGGCTTCGTAGCGCAGCGTAGCGCTAACCGCAACATTACGACTACTACATCACACCCACACACGCACATGTTTTGTATGTGTAAACAAAATAAAAGCCCTCGCACTTGACGCTTCGGTTACGGACCCTCTCACCCAAACCCACAGCTGGCAGCTGAAGAGCGATGCCGATCCACTGCTGGCGTGTCGGCACGCGGCTCGCGCCAGGACGCGTGGCAGCATCGACTCCACTGGGCCCACCGATGTCGGTGGTGAACGATTGACACGGCTACAAAGCAAAATGAAATGACGCGAAACCGCATCGCGGTATAGGCAGCAGCAGCGCACGATTCAAGCACCGTGAATATAAAACTCGCGCGTTCAAAATCCCCGCTCGCGGCCATCCACCGACGACGATTTTCTGAACCTGGTTCCTGGGCCAACCCCTAGGTCGATTCGGCCTCAAAATGAGTACCTGGTGCGGTGTGCAGTGAACATCGCCATTGGGGGAGGCAAAGGTGGCCGGGCGTGGTGCTGGCCACCCGCCCCCTCCCGTGTGCCGTACCGGTAGCCTTCATAGGTGCTCGCTGACAGTCTGTCAAGGACATGCGGGTGATCTCTGTCTATGTCTCTGGGTGCTGGGGTTCTTGTGCGGTGGATCGCGCGCTGCGCTGCGGGCATGATCACAACTTATCGCGAGTCTCCGGGCGGGCAGGCAGCTATAGCTAGTTCGACTCCGCCTCAAATTAGCACACGCGTTGTCGGTGTGGGGAAGACAAAGGCGGCCGGGAAATACGTGGTGTTGTTGGCCACGTGATTCCGCCGTGCTCCGTGACGACTTGCAATAGGTGCTCGCTGACAGCCCAGTCCGGCTCGTGGCTACACCGGTGGATGATCATTTTTGTGCGCGCTTATTGCCCTCGCAAAATCGTACAACGCTCGGCGTTTCACTCCAAACCGATCAGTTAAGAGAACACCTGAAGACAACACGATCAACAGCAATCAACAACAACAATCAACAACAACAACAAGCTCACCTGTTCGGCGCGCACCAGACACTGGGAGCACAGAAGCCACACGAGGCCCGCTCTAAATTCCATCTTCACCTCGACTCGAAACTCGAAAGTCAGTCTCGGCAAAAGTTCGTTCCACAAAAACCACAATCCACGTGTCTTGCTCAGATGCCGAGTAACGCCAACAGGTAAAGGGAGCAAGTTTGCTGCTGCTGCTGCTGATGATGTTCTTGCCGACGATGGCTTTTATTCGTGCGACGCCGAGCACGATGGGACGAGGAGTGAGTCACAGAGGGGAGCACACACGGCAGACGCTCAGACAGACTTCAAACCACAATTCGTCCTTCCTCCTCCTCCGCCGCCTCCTCTTCCACCTCCTCCTACTCCTCCTCGCCTTCCAACTCCTCGCTGCATGGCGCACAGCAACCGGTGGCTTCTCCTCCTCCTCTGCCGCTGATGTTGCTGCTGCTGCTCCTAATGTGTTGGCGCGACTAGCTGGCAATCCGGACCATCGACATATTTCATTAAATCTAACCAAACAGCGGCGCGCGGTGTAAGGATGAGGGGGAGGGAGAGAGGGAGGAGGGGTGTGAGAGATCGTGAGCGAGCGAGCGAGTCCTGCAGGGCTCGGTGAGCAACGAGGGCTGGGGAGAGAGAATCTGTGCCGTGTCTGTGTGCGCGCACCGCTGCGGACGAGTGCACGAGGAAGCGTGCGTGGGGCCAGCCCCACCCCAATACTCCCCCCACCACCACCACGATCGCATTACCATACCGTGAATATACATCACCTACCGACAACCAGCCAGCCAACCATCCACTCGGCCGTCACTTCGCCCCCACCCCTGCCTCGTTCCTGCAACGGCAACTACCCACCCACTAGCTCGCACTCGCATCAGTCCCGCCCACACAATCATCCACCCACCCACTCAGCGGGCACCGCTGAAGAATATCAACCACTCGCCGACTCACGCATCCACCTGCTCACCCACGAACCCATCCTCGCACCCATCCATCCTCGCACCCACCAACCCTTACACCCATCCACCCATCCACGCGCCCATCCACGCACCCACCCTCCCATCCACCCGTTCAGCCACCCATACAATCACTCACCCATACAATCACTCACCCATACAATCACCCACCCATGCATCCACCTACGGACTCATGCACCCATCGATTCACCAACTCACCGAAGCTTCCAAGCCCTCACTCAGCTACACTCCGACCTATCCACCCACCCAACCACTCGCACTCCCTGCTTCTCACTCACCCACCCAATACGCTCACTCACCCACTCACTTAGCCACGCACTCAACCACTTACCCGTTCACCCACCAACTTACCGACTCTCTAAAGCTATTATCTACATGCCCGTCCACTAATCCACCTACCCACAGACCTACTTAAACCCACTGACCTACTAACTCACCCATCCACTAACTCAACCACCGAACACTCACCCACTAATCCACTTATCCACTCACTCATCTATATACCCGCCCCTGATCTACCCATCTGCTCGCCAATTCACCCACTCAACCAACCGCTCATCTTGCAACCCACTCACCAATTCACTCACCCACTTACTCACCCCGTCTACCACTCATCTGCCCATCCACTCACCCACCCCCTCACCCAAACTCGCACTCACCTACCCGTCCACCCATCTAACCTCCAACTAATGTACCCACCCGTTCACCCACCCACTCACCCAAATACAAATATTCCCCGTAGAGCCTAAATAGACTTTTGGGGCAAGTGCTGTCAGCGAGCACCTGTGAAGGCCGGCACGGCACACGAAGGGATGGGTGTCCAACACCACGCCCGACCGCCTTTGTCTCCCTAGTGGCGATGTTTACCCACCGCACCAGTTACTCATTTAAGACTGAGTCGACCTAAGGGAGGCCCAGGACCGGTTCAGATAATTGTCACTGGTGTTGGCCGTGACCCCTCGACTCACTCATCCACCCACTAATTCACCCACTCACTCATCCACCCACCAACTCACCCACTCACCCACTCACTCACTCATCCACCCACCGACTTACCCACTCACCCACACTCTCATCCACCCACAAACTCACCCACTCACTCATCTACCCACCGACTCACCCACTCGCCCATTCAATCATCTACCCACCGACTCACGCACCCACTCACTCATCCACCCACAAACTCACCCACTCACTCATCCACCCACCGATTCACCCACTCACCTACTCACTCATCTACCCACAAACTCACCCACTCACTCATCCACCCACCGACTCACCCACTCACCCACACTCTCATACACCCACAAACGCACCCACTCACTCATCTACCCACCGACTCACGCACCCACTCACTCATCCACCCACAAACTCACCCACTCACTCATCCACCCACCGACTCACCCACTCACCCATTCACTCATCTACCCACAAACTCACCCACTCACTCATCCACCCACCGACTCACCCACTCACCCACACTCTCATCCACCCACAAACTCACCCACTCACCCATCGACTCACCCACGAACCCACTCACTTATCTACCCACAAACTCACCCACTCACTCATCCACCCACCGACTCACCCACACTCTCATCCACCCACAAACTCACCCATGCACCCATCGACTCACCCACGCACCCACTCACTCATCTTCCCTCCGACTGACCCACTCACCCACTCACTCATCCCCACCCACAAACGCACCCCCTCACCCATGCACCCATCGACTCACCCACGCACCCACTCACTCATCTTACCTCCGACTGACCCACTCACCCACTCACCCACACTCTCATCCACCCACAAACTCACCCCCTCACCCATGCACCCATCGATTCACCCACGCACCCACTCACTCTGGACCCGGCCCCGTGCAAACGAGCCGGGGTGAATAAGCGACAGAAGCGGCGGCGAGGCGCTTTTTTTAGAATCGCTCTTGAATTAGCGCGCCTCCCGCTCACACCTGTGCCGCGTGTGCTCAGAGGCAGGGCCGTGTACACGCGCGCGTGTACGTGTTTGGCATAGTTTAGTCCTCGACTTACGGACACCCACACTTACGAACCAGCTTCGATGAAAAATTTTTTTTTTCTTAACATTCAATTAAACTCGCACTTGCAAATTGGACCGCGGAACTAATTTGTTGAGCTGAGAGATCTTCCGCGAGATGTATAATGAGTAAGCCTGGCGCTGGGGGGTGAGTGTTTGTGTGTGTGCGTGTGTTCGCGTGCACATGTGCGTGTGTGAAAGTGAGTGTGTGGGGAGCGGTAGTGTAGCGGTTAGCGCGCCGCGCTACGAACCCGGTGACCCGAGTTCGATTCCCACTCACGGCCAACGCCAGTGACGATTATCTGAACCGGTCCTGGGCCTCTCTTGGGTCGACTCAGCCTCAAATGAGTACATTGTGCGGTGTGTAAGAACATCGCCACTGGGGAGACAAAGGGGGCCGGGCGTGGTGCTGGCCACCCACCCCCTCGTGTGCCGTGCCGGCCTACGTAGGCTTCGATTCTTGTCCACGTGAACATTCGCGTGATACACCCATTGCCTCAAAGCAAAGTACAGTGTCCACGCAGCAACACACACACACATCCTTGAGGTCGTGTTCAGCTTTACAGCTTGCTGCCTTTACATGCGCATCTAATTAATGTTAGTCAAGTCGAACAATAAGATCGGAATGTACACATGTTTACAGGGCACGTGATGGATTTATTGTCGATAATTGCACGCGAGTCATGCTCGCAAAGATAAATATTCCTCGTGTTGCCTTGACAGGCTGTTGGGGCAAGTGCTACGCCCGACCGCATTGTCTCCCCCAAGTGGCGATGTTTACACATCGTACCAGCTACTGATTTAAGGCTGAGTCGATTTTCGCTGTCACTGTTATTATTATTATTGGTCGCGAGCGGGAATCGAACTCGGGTCCCTCGCTGGCAGGGTCGTCCATAGGGGAGGGGTGCGGGACCCGGGGGTGAAATCCCCCCCCCCCCCCCCTGACGCCTTCAAACTCATGCGGGAGTACTGCATCTGACACCGTCTCGTCAACGCACGCGGTGCCCCCCCCCCCCCCACCAAAGCGCGGGGCCCGGGGCGGCCACCCAGATTCACACGAGACGGACGGCGCGCGAGAGGAGGGAGAGCGCGCGCGGGTAGCCCCCCCCCTCAACCCCCCTTACCGTGAAAGTTCCCCCCGCCCCCCGCCCCTGTTTGGAAAACTCAGTGGGAGGGGCGGGGGGGGAGGCAACCGCGGCTCTGATCACAGCGCGAGTCACATTACAAAGAGCCTCCTCCTCCACCTCCACCTCGGCCTCATCCACCTACTCATCCACCTCCACCCCCTCATCAACCTCCTCCTCCTCCTCCACCTCGGCCTCATCCACCTACTCATCCACCTCCACCCCCTCATCCACCTTCACCAACTCCTCTTCCTCCTCCACCACCTCCTCCTCCCCCTCACCCCGACACCTGGCGATGATCCAGCCCCTGGTTTCAGGCCCTTCAGTGCACATCATCATCATCATCACGCCCGCACCTTGCTCTGTCCCTCCTATCGCTCCTCTCCACCGTCTCAACCCCTTCCTCCTACACACACACACATACAGTACACATACAGTACGCAACAAAGGCAAATATTTCCCGTGTAGCCTTAACAGACTGCTGGGGCAAGTGCTGTTAGCGAGCAGCACCTATTAAGGCCGGGTCTGTGGCACACGAGGGCGGCCAGCACCACGCCCGGCCGCCTTTGTCTCCCTAACATGGCGATGTTTACCCACCGCACCGGGTCCTCGTTTTGAGGCTGAGTCGACCTAGGGGTAGGCGCCGAAACTGGCTTCGGACAATGGTCACTCTCGTGTGTTGGTGGCCGTGAGCGGGTCACGAACTTCGGGGTCGCCGGGATCGTGAAATAAAACGCACCCACACGACCACTCACTGGGAGTGTGGGATGTGGGCGATGTGGGGGAGGTGGGGGAAATGCGAGCGCATGTATACAGGTGCGAGAGACACACGGAGGACCCCCCCCCCCCCCTCCTCTCCCCACACCACACTTTCGTCTCTGCGAATCGAACCCTGTAATTTGGGACATTCCAGCGAAAGCTGTCTCACCTCCGTGTGTGTGCGCGGGGTTTTTTTCTGTCTCTCTTTCTCTCTTTCTTAAATAACACACCGCTGGCTGCCTCTCGTAATGGCCGCGTCGGAGACAATGCGCCCTGCAGACTCTTGCAGAGATCCTTTGCCTAAAGTTCAAAAAGCCTCGGGGGGTTTGTTACGGGGCGTCTCACTTGAACAGAGGTTCAACAACGGGCGAGGCTGAGTCCGGGACCGCCGTGATTCTGGACTCCAGCCCTCGGCCCCGATGTCTCCGTCTCGCTCTGCTCTCTGGGGGTTCGTTCACAATGTGTCGTGACGGACCCACAACCAACCATTGTTCGGAGGCTGCATTGTTTCAATCCTTTACGCGATGGTTGCGTGGGTTTAACAATGGCCGTGGCAGAGAGCCACTGAGTTATCACTGCCGAGAAGGGCGCGTGGGTTCGACAACAGAGGTGTGTGGATGTCTAGATTTGAAGCTTTCGTGACTGCAAGGATTCATATTCTTAGGTTTTTTCGGTAAAGTCACGTAGGAACAAAAATTTTAATTAATAAAAGTAAAATAAAAAATAAAATAAAAATCACGACGTTTCGGAGGC